ATTCGTTCTATTTTTTTGTATCCATTCACAACACCCACCTTCCCCCTCTCCCCTGACTTCCCAGCCTCTGGTAACCATCCTTCTACTTTCTTTGTCCATAAATTCAATTGTTTTGATTTTTAAATCCTACAAATAAGTGAGAACATGTGATATTTGTCTTTCTGTGGTTGCCTGATTTCACTTAACATAATGATCTCCAGTTCCATCCATGTTGTTGTAAATGATTGAATGTCATTCTTTTTTACGGCTGAATAGTACTCCACTGTGTGTAAGTACCACATTTTCTACATCCATTCATCTGTTGATAAACACTTAGGTTGCTTCCAATTCTTAGCTATAATGAATGGAGCTACAACAAACAAGGGAGTGTAGATATCTCTGCATTATACTGATTTACTTTCTTTTTTTTTTTAATTTTTGAGTGTTTTATGTTTTAATTTTCTAAATATGGAAACTCTTTTTTTTGTGATCTTCAAAAGACAATGTTAGCTGAAAGGTGAGGCTATTTTTTTTTTTTTTGTTGAGGGAAAAAGAGAAAAAGAAGGGGAAAAAAAGAAAAAGAGGGAGAAAGGAATATTACTTCATTCCTAAAATGGGTTTCAATAATGACCGATCAATATTTTGAGTGTTTAAAGTGGTTAATGTATATTTTATGTGTTTAAAATGGAGACCTCTATTGTGTTTATTTGTTCTGGCTCTGAGTTCAAGTCCTGGATATCGTTATCAATTTGTTGTCTCATTGAATCTAAATCTCATTATGCGTCTTATGTATCTGGGTGTTAAGATCTCTTATTGTTGCATTAATCCTTTTACCCTTGCATCCTTGTAGCTTTGAAATCTATTTTATTGAGTCTGAGAATTGCAACTCCTGCTTTTTATTGATTTATTTTTGCTCTCCATTTGGTTGGTTAGTTTTTTTCCATCCCCTTGTTTTGAGTCTTTGTATATCTTTAGATATATCATTAGATTTTGTGGATAATGTATATTTTGTGTGTTTAAAATGGAGAGCTCTATTGAGTTTATTTGTTCTGGATCTTAGTTCCAGTCCCAGATATCGTTATCAATTTTCTATCTCATTGAATCTAAATCTCATTATGGGTCTTATGTATCTGGGTGTTAAGATCTCTTATTATTACATTAATCCTTTTACCCTTGTATCCTTGTAGCTTTGAAATCTATTTTGTCAAATGTGAAAATTGCAACTCCTGCTTTTTATTTATTTATTTTTGCTCTCCATTTTGTTGGTACGGTTTTTTCTTCCAACCCTTTATTTTGAGTCTATGTATATCTTTAGATATACCGTTAGATTTTGTCTGTATCTTTTGATTGGGAGATTTGGTCGATTTAAATTTAGGGTTGCTGCCGTTTGATATTAACTGGCTATTTTGTCCTTTAGTTGATAAAAATTCTTCTTTATGTTAATGCTCTTTACTTTTTGGTGTATTTTTAGAAAGGGTCATACTGGTTGTTCCTTTCTGTGTATAATGCTTCTTTTAGAAGTTCTTATAAAGCAGGCCTGGTGGTAATAAAATCTCTGAGTACTTGCTTGTTCCTAAAAGATTTTATTTTTTCCTTCAAATGTAAAGCTTAAATTGGCAGGATATGAAATTCTGGGCTGAAAGTTCTGTTGATTAAGTATATTGAATATTGGCCCCCACTCTCTTCTAGCTTGTAGGGTTTCCATTGAGAGATCTGCTGTAAGCCTAATAGGCTTACCTTTATGGGTAACTTGATCTTTCTCTCTGGCTGCCCTTAATATTTTCTCCTTCGTTTCGATCTTGGTGAATCTAACGATTATGTGCCTTGGGGTTGGTCTTCTTGAGGAATATCTTTGTGGTGTTCTCTGTATTGCCTGGGGTTGAATAGTGTCCTGCTTTGCTAAATGAGGAAAATTTTCCTGGATAATGTCCTGGAGAGTATTTTCCAGCTTGAATTCATTCTCTCCATCACATTCAGGTACACCAATCAAGCGTATGTTAGGTCTTTTCACATAGTCCCATATTGCTTGGAGACTTTGCTCATTCCTTTTTATCCTTTTTTCTCTATTCTTGTCTTGTCGTTTTGTTTCATTAAGTTGATCTTCGACCTCTGATACCCTTTCTTCTGCTTGATCCATTCGGCTGTTTAAGCTTGTATATATTTCACTAAGTTCTCGTGTTGTATTTTTCAACTCCATAAGTTCATTTGTATTCCTCTCTATATTGTCTATTCTTTTCAACATTTCATCGAACCTTTTTTCCAAGTTCTTAGTTTCTTTACATTGGGTTAGAACAAGTTCCTTTAACTCCCAGAAGTTTCTTATCATCCACCTTTTAAAGCCTACTTCAGATAATGGAACACAGTCCTTTTCCATCAGGGCTTGTTCCGTTACTGATGAGTCCTTTTCCATCAGGGCTTGTTCGGTTGCTGATGAGTCCTTTTCCATCAGGGCTTGTTCCGTTGCTGATGGGTTCTGATTTTGAGTATACTCGGCCTTCTTAGGCTGTTTTTTTCCCTTCATTGTAGATGAACCACCTTTCTAATTAGGTTTCTGAGTCGACGTCCGACTTATTGATTCCCAGTGCTGGGATCCGAGCAACCCACAGTGGCAGCCTAAATAGCAGCGATAAGACTGATGGTGCTCTTCTGCCCGGGAATCTCTGGTCTGGCTTCCCTCTTGAGTCCGCAACAAGCGGCTCTGACTTCCCGGAGCTCCAAACTCCGGTCAGTAGGGGAAGCAGTCCCGTTGGCTCTGCATGAAGAGCTGCTGCGCTGAGATGCCGGCAAAACCGCTGCGGTGGCCACAAGAGTCGCACTGGCGATCCTTGGGGCTCCTCCACTGGGAATCGGCTGATTGGTGAGTGACGAAAAGCGTCGTCTCGTTCTCTGGGCTTTCACTAGGAGCTACAATCCTGAGCTGTTAGTGGTCAGCCATCTTGGATCGATCTGATACTGATTTACTTTCTTTTGGGTATGTACCCAGCTGTGGGACTGCTGGATCATATGCTATCTATTTTTAGTTTTGTGAGAAAGCTTCAAACTGTTCTCCACAGTGGTTATACTAATTTATATTTCCACCAATAGTGTATAGGGTTTTGTTTTAAGATTTATAGAAATCAAAATATTTTTTCATATAATTTAAACTAAAGTTGAAGCTAATAAATCTTCTGTGGTAATGATTTAAGTGCAAGTGATGCTTGGCTTTCTTTCACATTCATTTCTTTTCTATAGAGTGAAGGCATATCAGTTATTCTAGAACAAGTCAATACAGCTCTGCAAAAGGGAGACATTGTTCCTTGCATGTTTGTTTTATTTTCAGTTCAGACATTTCAATTAGATTCTTTCTAAATGCTGCCACTCTCTTTGATTTAAAATTTATCAGTTCTTCTTTTGCAGATCCAGAAAGCTGTTCAAATTCCTAGCAGCACTTCTGCTGGTGTGCCTCAGCCATCTTGACATCTTTGCTATTGAACCAGGCCTTATTCAGAGCTTTGTTTGAGTTCTCATAATCAATGAGGGCTTTAGTGTATCTGTTTAAGAGATCCGTAGCAGCTTTGATGTTGAGCATGTTGTATTGGAGGAGCTCTGTTAGCTTTAAATCTTCATCTGATGAGACTTGACCCTCTACTTTCCTGTTTTTCAAAGAGCTCAGCAACCTTCAGTAGGTACTTTTTGATGACTGTGGGCTCTTCTAAAGCCAGGCTATGTAAGCAGGCTGCATTGTGGATATAGTCATCGGCAACATTTTTATGAAATCTGGTCATTATGTCAGCTTTCACACAAGAATCTTTGATCCTATTGTAATAGTTAATAAGGAAGTTCTTCTCTTACTCAAAGAAGAAATCTACCTCCTTAACTCCAGTAAACAGGAATGCTTCAGCACTTTTCACTATACTTTTGAAGAAGCCACCAAACATCTCTTTAGTATTTTTCCGCCTAACACTTAGATCCTGATCATATTCCAGGAAAACATGAAAGTTGCAATCTTTACTGAGAACAGGGTGAGAAGAAAGCCACTGAAGAGAGACTTCATGGGAGGATATAAACTTCTTAAAAACAGCGAGATACTCAGCTTCCAGTTCTTGTTTTATCTTGGTAAATTCTTCTTTGGTCATAGACCCTTTCTCTTCTCCCAGTTACTGCATTGTCTCTCAAGGACCATCAAAGTTGGGCATTGTAGGAGCAGGTGGAATAATAAGCCCAATGTAGTCTGTTGTTTCAGTAAGAGTGTCACATAGCCACCCAAAGTCTTCATGTTTCCTTGTAACAGAAACGTGGGCAATGTGGTCTTTGTGTGCACTTTATATTTGACCTTATCTCTCTCACTGAGTGCATCAGGAATGTCAATCTGAAGCAAGGGATCAACATTCAGGTCCACAGAAACAAAAGGTTCCCTTTTCTTCACATCCTCACCAGCGTTTCTTATTGCCTGTAGTTTGGATATAAGCCATTTTAACTGGAGTGAGATGATATCTCATTGCAGTTTTGATTTGCATTTCTCTGATGATAATGATGTTGAGGACCTTTTCAATATGCCTGTTTGCCATTTGTAAGTCTTCTTTTGAGAATTGTCTATTCAAATCTTTTGCCTATATTTTGATCAGATTACAATATTTTTTTACCTGTAGAGTTGTTTGAGCTCCTTATATGTTGGGAACTGGAGAAAAGGTCACCTTTGCTATTTTGGAATATACAATAAATTATTGTTAACAATAAAGGAATAGATGCTTCTTTATAGCAGTGTGAATGGACTATAGGACTAGATAATCTCAATTAACCCATCTTCTAGTTTGCTGTTTCTTTATTCTGTCAGCTCAACTCTTCTGTTGAGACCCACTAGTAAATTTTCATTTCTGTTATTTTCCTTTTCAACTCCAGAATTTTTGTTTTTTTAAAAAATAACTTCTATTTCATATTGATTTTCTGTATTATCACATTGTTGTTATACATATCTTTAATTCTTTAGACATGGTTTTTATTAGTACTTAAAAAATATGTGTATATGTGTGTACACCCATACAGATATATATTTAACTCATTAAAAGTCTTTGTCTAATAAACCAATATTTGAGCTTCATCAAGCACAGCTTCTAGTGAATGTATTTTTACAAAAATACATTCTTTGCCCTTCTTTTCTCTTTCTTTGTATGTCTCATTAATTTTGCAGAAAACCAGATATTTTAAATTGCATAATATGAAAAATATCGATATTGGAATTCCTCACATTCTGTATTTTTTGTTGTTGCTGTGTTGCAACACAGTGTGTGTCAGTATCTGACTTCAAGGTTTCATTGATTAACAGCTCTACCTTAGTATTCACATACTGCTTTGTAGAGTCTCATCATCAGCCAGAGGTGAGCAAGCACATTGCCAGGCACATGTGCACAGCCTTCTAGATCTCTGGATGTATGTCTTCCTAAGAACATTTTATTTCCCATATTCCTTAGAGATATAGAACTTTAAGACCTAAAGTTTTTGATTAGTTCCTGTTTGTTGTTCCAACAGGTATTGCTACCATAATTGGCTGTGATAAACTGTTATCACTGATTTATCACTGGTTGTTTTTGACAAATGTCTTGGGTATACAGCTTATGCCACTGAGTGAATGCTGAGTTACATAAACAAGGACAAGCTCTGTAAATGAGAATTCTCTAGGGAGCTGCCAGACATGCCAAACAGTAAAAATCTAGTGCCCCCTCCAGTAGCTGCAAGATTGTTGAATTTTACAGGTACTGTTGTTGCAAGACATGAATTTCAAGGACAATGTGGAGCTGTGGCAAAGGGAATGGAAGTAGAGAAAATTAAAATGCCACAAAACTGACTGTCATTATGAAGAGTAAGCTATTTTTCTTCAAAAAATCCTCATTGCAATGTTATAAGCCTTTGGCTAATTTCTAGAGTTTTAAAAAAGGTGATTTTAACCATATGTTTGTAAGTGTTCTGTGTGCTTATGGTGGAGTTGACTTATTTTGTTATTCCATAACTCTTGTGTGATGGTCTTTTAACTGGAATTCCAACTTACTACTCTTTTCCTCTCACAATCCATGCTTTATAGAGAAGCCTAAGAGAGCTAATAAAAGTGTAAATCAGGTCAGATCACTACTCTGACAAAAAATTTTTGAATTGGTATTTCTTAATATTTAGAATAAAGTTTAAGTTTCTGATTATGGTCTACAAACCATTTTGGCTTAAGAGACTTTATGTAAGTGAGGTTCAAAAGCAGCAAAAAGTAGTGAAGAGAGCATGGAGAATTACTTTGAACCTGATATTTATACCAAGCACATTGCATTTTAGGGGGAGGTGGAGTTTTGTTTTTGTTTGCTTCTGACTATTGCAGTGATACAAGTCTCTTATCTGTTGTGTTCTCTTGGCTCCTAACTGGACGCTTATTGCATTGTCTTCTTCCCCTTAGAAACTACAACTTTCTGATTTCTGAAAACCTGTTCTTCCCTATTACTATTCTCCTCTCATTGTTAGGTATCTTTTTACTTTCCATCTGAATTTTAATCTATTGTTGTAGACAAGGAGCTGTGCAACTCCAACCCCTCTTCAAGGAGGGAATTATTGCACAACACTGAAGATGGTAGCCATCCAAGGAATTTCTACATTCAGTTCCTTTGGGCCAGGCTCAGTTGCAGGGAAGAAATATCACTGAGGATGTGCATTCACAACCCATGACATTTACCCTGAATTATATATTAATTTACCCTGACTGTATAATTGAGATTTAGATACTTCTAAGTGGGCACTGTTGCATTTTTGGTCCTTGGTGTGCAAGTCCATGGCCTAATGAAAGCCTCTGAATATGCCCTCTCTGCCTTCAGCCAAGGTGATATATTTACAAAAATAGTGCATAATGAAAAACTGGGCATAGATGGAGAGTATAGAGATAGTATTAAGATTCTAAAAGATGAAAGGATTCTTTCATCATATCTGCTATGAATTTACCAGTCGGGGCCACTGCAGAAACTAGATGTATCCTGTAGAATGACTGTGAACTACCTCAAGCTCAAGTAAATAGTAGCTTTAGTTACGACTACCATGACAAAGACAGTATCTTTGCTAGAACGATTAATATGGCCTCAGGTATATAGTTATTCTCCAGGACTATGTTAACTCTCTTATCACAATGTAGTCTAAAGAGATACAATTTTTTTAATGTCCTGAAGAACATTACATTGATTAATTGCCACCAATAATAGGTAGATCTGGCTGGATGAGCAAGATCTGGCTAGCCTTGCTGCAGGCTCAGTAAGACAAATTTGACCTAGTGAGTAGGAAATAAATCCTAAACAGATTTTAGGGCTAACCACTTGAGGAAAAATTTAGAGGTTTAGTGGCCAGGGCTTGCCAGTTAATCCTTGTCCAAAGTAAAAGATAAACTATTTCATATTTCTTCTTCTACCATGACTAAGAAAGCACAGTGCATCGTGGGCTACTTTGTGCTCTGGAGACAGCATGCTTAACAGTTAGGGATACCACTTTGCCTGTATGCTTCTTTGAGTATGGATGGAGCAGGAAAGAGCTCTGAGCAGACTGAGGCTGTGATACAAGCCATACTTCTTTTTGTACAATGCAATCTGTTGGAACCTACATGTTAGAGGTATCAGTGTTAAGAAATGGGACCATGTTGATTTTGTATGAAACACAGTAGAGGTCCCTGGGATTCTGGAGAAATGCCATAAAACCAGGGAATGTTATGCCTTTTAAAAAATAACTCTTGGCTAGCTACCAGTCCTGACCATGGGACTGCAAGTGACCATGTGGGTAGAGCTATCATGAGCTAGGTCTTGTAAGTGTTACTAAGTCATAAAGTCAGATAATACCAACAGTAACCTCATTATAATATAGATGTGTGGTATCCAGGATTGAGCACAAACAGGTTCTGAGGACAAAAGAAATTTGCACAAACAGGTAGTTCAGGTCTATGGCTCCCACTAGTAGTAGTACAAGAATTTCTCTTAGCTCATTTCTGTGGCTGTATGATATACTGTAGGACCAAAAGAAAAAAAGTGAAACATTTCTGAGTTTGGCTTCCAGATGCGTTAGCTTGGTATGTAAGTGTAGACCAAGTATGGACACCAGCTACACTATAACCTTACTCAAGGATGCCTTGAAGAACTGGTACAGAAAAATCTTTCCAATGGGGAGAGCAATTGTGATGCATCCAGGCATTGACATAGTGTGAAAAGAGAAGTGACCCAAGGTTAGAATACACACACACACTCATGGAAAAAGAATGGAAGACCATGGGCAAGAAGATGTGGGATAAAGGTATGTGGTTGAACATATGAGAGTAAAGAAGTTTGAGGATCTTTATATTCCACATAATAACCACCAGCAAATATTGACCATTGAGGAGGCACTAAACAACCAAGTAGACAAAAGTGTCCAGCCACTTGTCATTAGCCAAACTCTTTCAACAACTACTCCAATGCTGGCAAAATTAGCTCATGGATGAAGAGGCCACAGTGGCCACTTCATAGTGGATATAGGAACTGTGCCTAGGCCCAAAATCGTGAACTTTCACTTATAACACCTGATCAGTCTTAGCCTATCAATGTCCTACCTACTAGCAGCAGAATTCTGAAACCCCCAAAAGAACCATTTCTTCAGGAGACCTACCTGCCACTTGATAGAAAGTTGATTATATCAGGGCCCTCTGTTCCACAATAGCAGGTTTTTTTTTTTTTATACAGACGTGTATTGTGATTATTGGTTTTCTTTTCTTGTCAACAGAATTTTGATCAGCACATTATCCAGAGACTTAGTATTTTATCCATTGCCTTGTGGTCCTACATAAAATTGTGTCAGACCAGATAAACTATTTCACAGCAAAGGAGGTGTGGAAATGGGCCCATTACTGTGAGAGCTATTGCTAATATTAAATGCCATGTTGTTCCAAGTTGCTGGTCTGAGAGAGCATTGAAACGGCCTGTTGAAGGTATAGCTGGTTTGCTAACTTGGCAGCAATATTCTGCAAGAAGAGTCACTATAGTCTAGGTTGCGTTGTACACCTTTACATGAATAGCTATATGTAGTGCATGTCTTCTATGGAAGGAATGTATGAATCCAGAACCCAAGGTGTAGAAAGAAGAATGGTACCTCATACCATTAATTTCAGAGACTGATGAGGAATTTGCATATCTTGTGTTTACAGCTCTGGGTTCTGCATTGCTACAAGACCTAATTACCAAAGGGGGAACATTTTCACCAGTGGTACAAAAATAGTACTATTTAATCATTAGTTATGACTGCTGAGTGGGCAGTTTGAGCTCTGTTTCTCTGGGAGTCAGCAGGCACAATTAAGGTTATTGTGTTCAGATTGCTGTTTCACAATAGAGACAGAGAGAAACATACATAAAAACAGATAATCTACTTGAGTGCCTCCTAGGATCTACTTGTGTCAACCCCAAATTCATATATGGAAACCCTAATACTCAATGTGAGGGGATTTGAACAGGGTGATTTTGAACAGTAATTACGTTATCAAGTTGGAACCCTCATGCGGGGATTGGTGCACTTACAAGAACAGGCAGAAAAGAGGTTACATCCTTTGTCTCTGTTCTCAGCCATCTGAGAATATGACAAGAAGAAAGCTGTCTGTGAACTGATAATTGGGCCCTCACTGTACACAACATTTACTGGCACTTTTATTTTGGACTTCCCAGCCACCAGAACTGTGAGAAATAGGTTTGTTGCTTATGCTACACAACCTAAGCTACTTTGTTATAATGGACAGCTATAGTAATCTCAGCTGGACAAGAGTACAGTGATCATGGTTCAGGGATTTCAGAGATGATTGTTTTCTTCACATCACCAGGTAAGCTGCCAAGTTCAGCCGAGTTGGTAGCTGAGGGTGAGGGAATTCTAGAATGGATAGCAGAGAAGAAAGACGATGAGAATCGGCTGTCTTCCTAAGGTTAACTTTCACTCCGTCCCTCTTCTGCTTTCTCTTTCAGAAAAAGAGGCCTGCAGCAATCATGGAGAGGCTGTCCTTCAAATGTTTATGGAAAAGTCAGTAGAAGAGACATCATGGTGAATGATGGTAGACATAGAGATACATCATGCAGATACTACCTTCTCTCTTAGCTCATTTGATGAGCTGAGATCTTGATGCCCAGCTGTGGTAATTACAGTCAGCAGGCAGTCTCCAGACATCAGTTCCTTCAGGACTTCCCTTAGTTGCCCAAAGCTGTTTCACTCCAGGTCACAACATTCCTTTGGAAGCCCACAACTGATGACTGAAGGCTAGATATCTAAGGCCTGGCCATTTTAGCCTGGCATCGAACACCCTGACAGGTAGTAAGTATTCCCTTTAGAGGTCTTCACCAGGTTGGCCAAGACTTCGTTAGGTCTGCATTGCACTTAAACTTCTTCCCCTGTCCAATTCTGCTTCCTATATCTTTCACAGACTCATGGGTTTTTGTAACGTATTTTTAATCGAATTATTTTTATAGAAAGGGACTTTAAAAAAAACAAAAAAAACTTTTGTTCGTTTGTGACGCTGAGTACATACCCTAGAGGCAGCCACTAGAGTATATAACCTGTGCAATCCACTTCTTGGCTAGTCACCTTACTCTATATTCTGCTGGCGAACACTGACTTCTGATTCCTTCCTCATACCAATGACCCCTCACTGCTTCCTTAGTGTGCCAGTAACATTCAATATTAATCTCATAGAAATGAGAAGCTTTATATAACAAAATATAGCAAACTGATCTTGATTGTAACTAGTTTTGACAATTGATATATTTCTTTTGTGTACCCAGAGAGATGCCATTCACCTCTTTTTTGCTTCCTGAGACAACTTGCATTACTTTCTTGGCAAACATTTAGAACACCTGCACATAAACCACAGGTGAAATACCAAATAGAGCCCTCTATGTTAATTTTCTTGGTAGCAATTAGTTGTACTTGTGTTTGTTCTCAGAAAGCTTCTGAACTACTGCTCAAAGCCAGCTCAATTTTGATGAAGGAGATTTATTTCTTGGAATATTGTCAATCTTTGACCCCATGCTGATAGCAGCTGGATCAGAAAATACACTCAGCATTGCTTTTGTGCTTGACAGTTATAGTTGTGACCATGTTAATTACCATCTGTTTAATGGCACAATGGGGACACTGTATAGTTCTGAGAGTGATTATAGTCTTGCCTTCTACAGAAAGGCTTTCTTGGAAACCATGAGTAATTCATAGCTAAAGAAGAAGTTCCAGTCATCCTTGGTAAATATATCTTTCATCTAGAGTAAAATTCTGTTTCACTTTCATTTTGGTTAGGTATTTTGCAAGTTAGGTGTATCTGGGAATGGTGTGCCAAGGGTATCTCATTCTGTAGTCTGCAACAGTTAAGCATGAGAAAATGTCTTATTATAAAATGTGCCTTATTTTATAATAAAAAGTGTAAAATTATTTTATATTTAAGTAAATATTATTTTATATATTTAAAAGTTTTATAAGACACAATGTACATAATTATATAATTACATACAATGTAATTATATATATTTAACATTTATAATATTCAGATGCCCTAAATGTATGAAATAATATGTATTTAAATGTCAAATAATTTATATTTTCTTTTTTTTTTCTTTTTCTTTTTTTTTTTTTTTTTTTTGAGTTGGAGTTTCCCTCTTGTTACCCAGGCTGGAATGCAATGGCGCGATTTCGGCTCACCGCAACCTCCGCCTCCTGGCTTCAGGCAATTCTCCTGCCTCAGCCTCCTCAGTAGCTGGGATTACAGGCACGCGCCACCGTGCCCAGCTAATTTTTTTGTATTTTTAGTAGAGACGGGGTTTCACCATGTTGACCAGGATGGTCTCGAACTATTGACCTCGTGATCCACGCTCCTCGGCCTCCCAAATTGCTGGGATTACAGGCTTGAGCCACCGTGCCTGGCTGTAATTTATATTTTCATTTTAAAAATATATTCTGTTTAGTAGTATACAAAAAATCATAATCCAATGAATTATAAAGTACAAAATAAACAACCATAAAATTACCATGTAGGTTAAGAAACAAAACACGCCACCACAAAATTCTCTCTCATTTCCAGTACCGATCATTTCCAAACACTGATTCACCACCCCAACCTCCAAAGTAAACATGTTTCTCACTTTTTAATATATGCTTTCTTTTCTTTGTAGTTTTTCAATGAAGCACAAATCTCTTTTTGTTACACTATAGTTTCATCTGTTGTCAAACTTTATATAAATCAAATCATGCAGTAAATGTTTCATTTTATCTGCTTCTTTTGTTCAATGTTTAGTGAGACTCATTCATGTCGTTGCATGTTGCATTCATGTTTGTTCATCTTCATTGATGCATAGCATTTTATTGTTTTATTATCCCACAAATTGTTATTCATTTTATTTGTTAATTGATGAATAATAGATGTACATAGCTATAGGATTTAATACATTCATAGAATCGGCAAAAATCAAATCAGTGTACTTGAATATCCATCACCTTCAATGTTTGTCTTTTCTTTATGCCACAACCACTCAAATTCATTTTGAAATTGAATTCAAATTGAAAAACCTAATTTGAAATGTATAATAGATGACCGAAAATTATGTTAACTCTACTGATCTAACACTAGTTCTTATTTCTTCAATTGGACTGTTTATTTTTACTCATTTATCAACTTCTCTTTATTTTCCTCTTTTTTAATGTTGGTAGACATTTCGACTTTTCCTGGTTTGAAATGTTTGTAAATAATATGCAGTTCTGTATATATCTTTTGCTGCACGTGTCCACATCTTTCTTGGTTATGTGGATGGGTGTGGAATTTCTATTATAGTATGTGCGAATTTTGATATTTGTAGCTTACTACTAATTCAACATTAGTAGCTTACTACTAACAAACTATTCTCCTAATGGTATTACCAGTTTATAATTGCACCAACATGGTGTGATAGTTCCTCTTAATCTATATCTTTGTTAAAACGTTTCAGTCTCAATTTTAGTCATTAATGGGTTTCTGGTGGTATTTCTTTGGGATTTTCATTTGTTCTCTGATTACTTCTAAAATTAAAATATTTTCCTGTATTTATTTGCCATTAGGGGCATCCTCCTTATGAAGTAACTGTTCACCTCTCTTGCTTATTTTGGCTAGATTTTTATTTTTGATTTGTAGAAGTTCTTTATGTATTCATATATGTGTGTTATATTTTATTCTGTACATTGGCTTGCATTTATCTCCCTTGATTATATCTTTGAAACATATGTTTTTAACTTTTATGTAGTCCAATCAAAAACTTTTTATTCTTTAGTACTGTTTGTGTTTTATTCAAAAAGCTTTTTCCTACCCCAGCATCATAAAGATATTCTCTTATAGTACATTCTGAAAACTTCTAGTTTTATCTTTTACATTTATATCTATATTATACTTAGTTTAGATATTTGTTTATGGTGTGAGCCAGAACTACACTTTTTTCCAATGATTTATCTAATTGTTTCAGTGATAATTCCTTTGCCTTCGTCCATCCAAATAGTATTTTAACTATTCTGAGTCTGTTGAATTCAATTTAAATTTTAAGATAATTTGTTAAGATAGACACACACTACCGCACTCCATACCCATACATCTGTTGTAATTTTATTGACTTTTTAAAGAAGTTTTAAATAATCTAAGGATTTATTTCTTCAGAATATCAAATCTTTCCTAAATAAACATGTTATACCCCTACATTTATATATTTATTAATTTCTTTCAATATGTTTTATTGTTTTCCTTGTAGAAAACTTACATATCAGGTCTTAGATTTACTATATTTCATAATTTTGATGCCATGGTAAATAGTACGTTCTTTAACATTTTTTATTTTCTAGTCAATCATTATGAGAACTTTCAGAAATATATATTTTTTTGTTCATATGTATTTTATTTTGTTTGTTTAGTTTTCAACTTTTGTTTTAAGTTCAGAAATATGTGTACAGGGTGTGCAGGCTTTATACATAGGTAAATGTGTGCTGTGGTGGTTTGCTGCACAGATCATCCCATCAGCCAAATATTAAGCTCAGCATTTATTAGCTAATCTTCTGATCCTCTCCTTCCTCTTGCCCACCACATTCTGACAGGCCCTGAGTGTGTTGTTCTCTGACATGTCTCCATGTGTTTTTATCATTTAGATCCCATAAATATGCAAGAACATGCAGTATTTGGTATTCTGTTCCTGCATTTGTTTGCTAAGGATAATGGCCTCCAGCTCTATCCATGTTTCTTCAAAGAGCATGATCTAGTTCCTTTTTATAGATACATAGTATTCCATGGTGTATATATACCACATTTTATCCAGTCTCTCATTGATGGGCATTAGGTCGATTCTATGTTTTTACTATTGTGAATAGTGCTATATTGAACATACATGTATGTGCGTCTTTATAATTTGGGTATAAAATAAAAGATTTATGGGTGTATAAAACAATTTATATTCCTTTGGATATACCCAGTAATGGTCTTGCTGGATCAAATAGTATTTCTGCCTGTAGATCTTTGAGGAATTGCCACACTGTCTTCTGCAATGATTGAACTAATTTACCCTCCCACCAATATTTGTAAAAGTATTCCCTTTTCTCCACAGCCTCACCAGCATCTGTTGTTTCTTTGCCTTGTTAACAATAGCCATTCTGACATATGTGAGGTATCTCATTGTGGTTTTGATTTGCATTTCTCCAATGATTGGTTATGTTGAGCTTTCTAAAATAATTTTTGGCTGCATGTATATATATTCTTTTTGGAGAAGTGTCTGTTCATGTCCTTCACCAAATTTTTAATAGGGCTATTTTTTTTCTTGTAAATTTATTAAGTTCCTTATAGATGCTGGATATTAACTTTTGTCAGATGCGTAGTTGGAAAAATTTTTCTCACACTCTGTAAGTTGTCTGTTTACTCTGTTGATAGTTTCTTTTGCTGTGCAGAAGCTCTTTAGTTTAATTAGATCCCATTTGTCAGTTTTTGCTTTTGTTGCAATTGCTTTTGGTGTCTTTATCATGAAATCTTTGCCTTGGTATTTTGTTGTTGTTGTTGTTGGTTGAGAGGCTATTGGGAGGATGTATGCATCCAGGGATTTACTCATTTTCTTCTAGATTTTCTAGTTTATGTGCACAGATATATTTATAATATTCTCTGATGGTTGTATTTCTGTGAGGTCAGTGGTAATATCCAACTTATCATTTCTGATTGTATTTATTTGAATATCCTCTCTTTTCCTTTTATTAGTCTTTCTGGTGGTCTATTTTATTATTTTTTTCAAAAGCCAGCCTCAGATTAATTAATTTTTGAAGTTTTTTTTCATGTTTCTATCTTCTTTAGTTTAGCTCTGATCTTGGTTATTTCTTGTCTTTTGCAAGCACTGGGGAGTGTTTGCTCTTGGTTCTCTAGTTTTTTTTTTATGATGTTAGGTTGTTAACTTGAGATTTTTCTAGCTTTTTGATCTGGGCATTTAGTGCTCAGAGGAATTAAATTCCCTCTTAATAAACTGCTTTAGCTGCATCACATCTCAGAGATTCTAGTATGTTGTCTCTTTGTTCTCATTAGTTTCAAGGAACTTCATGAATTCTGCCTTAATTTTATTATTTATCCAAAAGCAATTCAGAAGCAGGTGATTCAATTTCCATATAATTGTATGATTTTGAGTGAATTTTTAAATCTTGAGTTCTAAGTTGATTGCACTGCAGTCTGAGAGACTGTTATGATTTCAGTTCTTTTGCATTTGCTGAGGAGTATTTCACTTCTAATTACGTGATCAGTTTTGGAGTAAGTGCTGTGTGGCAATGAGAAGAATGTATATTTCATTGTTTTTGAGTGGAGAGTTCTATAGATATCTCTCAGGTCCACTTAATCCACAGCTGGGTTTAAGTCCTGAATATTTTTGTTAATTATCTGTCTTTAAGATCTGTCTAATATTGTCAGTGGGGTGTTAAAGTCTCCTACTATTATAGTATGGGAGTTTAAGTCTCTTTGAAAGTCTCTAAGAACTTGCTCTAGAATATTGGGTACTTCTACGTTGAGTTCATATATATTTAGGATAATTTGCTCTTCTTGTTGAATTGAACCCTTTACCATTATGTGATGCCCTTCTTTGTCTTTTTTCATCTTTGTTGGTTTAAAGTGTATTCTTTTTGAGACTAGGACTGCAACCTCTGCTGTTTCTCTGTATTCCATTTGCTTGGTGATTTTTCCTCCACCACTTTATTTTGAGACTGTGTTGTCTTTGTATGTGAGATGGGTCTCTTGAAGACAGCATACCATGAGTCTTGGATCTTTTTGCAGCCTGCTATTCTGTGTCTTTTAATTGGGGCATTTACCACATTTATATTTAAGATTAGTATTGTTATTGTGGATTTGATCCTTTCATCATGATGCTAGCTGGTTATTTTGTAGACTTGTTTATATGTTTGCTTTATAGTGTCACTAGTCTGTGTACTTCAGTGTGCTTTTGAAGTAGCTGGTAATGATTTTTCCTTTCCATATTCAGTGTTTCCTTCAGGAGCTCTTGAAAGGCAGTTCTGATGATAACAGATATGCTCAGCATTTGCTTGTCTGAAAAGGATCTATTTCTCCTTCACTTAGGATGCTTAGTTTGATCAGAGATGAAATTCTGGCTTAAAAATCCTTTTTAAAAGAGGGTTGTATATTAGCCCGCATTCTCTTCTGGCTTGTGGAATTTCCATTGAGAGGTCTGCTGTTATTCTGATGGGCTTCCCTTTGTAAATGATCTGGCCTTTCTCTCTGGCTGCTCTTAACATTTTTTCTTTCACTTTGACCTTGAAGAATCTGATAATTATGTGTCTTCGGGATGATCTTTTCATGAAGTATCTTACTGGGGTTCTCTGTATTTACTAAATTTGAATGTTGGCCTGCCTATCTTGATTGGGGAAGCTCTTCTGGATGATATCCTGAAGTATGTTTTCCAACTTGGTTCCATTCTCTCCATCTCTTTTGGGTAACTCAATCAGTTGTAGATTCAGTCTCCTTACGAAATCCCATATTTCTTGAAGGTTTTGTTCATTTCTTTCATTCTTTTTTCTTTATTCTTGTCTTCCTGTCTTATTTCAGAAAGACGATCTTTCTGCTCTAAGATTCTTTTCTCTGCTTGGTCTGTTCTGCTATTAGTATTTGTGATTGCATCATGAAGTTCTTGTAGTATGTTTTCCAGCTCTATCAGGTTGGTTATATCCCTTTCTAAACTGGCTATTTTGTATGTTGGTTCCTGCATTGTTTTTTTCATGATTTTTTACTTCTTTCCATTGGATTACAACATGCTCATTTAGCTCAGCAATGTTCATTTTTATCCATATTCTGAAGCCTACTTCTGTCATTTCAGTCATCTCAGCCTCAGCCCAGTTTGGTACTCTTGCTAGAGAGGTTTTGTGATCATTTAAAGGAAAGGGGGCACTCTGACTTTTTGAGTTTTCAGCATTTTTGCACTGCTTCTTTCTCATCTTTGTGGCTTATCTACCTTTTATCTTTGAGGTTTCCAGCCTTTGGATAGGGATTTGCTTTTTTGTTGTTGTTTTTTGTTTGTTTTTCTTTTAACAGTCTGGCTACTCATTCACAGGGCTGCTGCAGTATACTGGGGGTCCACTCTAGACCCTAGTTTCCTTGGCTTTTTCAGTACCTAGGTATATCACCAGTGAGGGCTGTGGAACAGCAAAGATGCCAGCCTGATGGTTTCTGTGGAAGCCCTGTCCCAGGTGGGTACTGACCTGTTGCTAGCCTGAATGCTCCTATAAAAAGTTACAGAGAGCCCAGTTGGGAAGTCTCACTCAGGAGGAGTGGGATCATGGAACTGCTTAAAGAAGCAATCCAGCTGTGTTTTGGTTGAGAAACTGTGCTGTATTGGGGATCCCTTCAGCCTCCTACTAGTTTGGGCTCTCTAAGACCTGCAGGCTGGGTTGGCTGAGATGCCCAAACAGCAAAGATGGTGGCCTGCCTTGCCCCTCCATGCACTCTATTACAGGGAGGAATTAGAGCTCTGTTGGCTGTAAAACCCTGATGCTACAGGTGGAGGTGGCCAGAGGCCCCAGCTGGGAGGACCTGCCAAGTGAGGAGAGATGGATCCAGGTCCTGTTTAAAGAAGCAGTCTGGCCATGCCTGGGCAAAACAGCCATGCTGTGCTGGAGAACCAGCCCTGCCCTGGTTGGCTTGGACTATCCAAAGTTGTCAGGCTGGACCGCTGAGTCACCTAAACAGCAAAGATGATGGCCTGCCCCTCTCCACAGGCACCCTGTCCCAGGGAGAAATTAGAATTCTATCCATAGAATATGGGTGGGCAGGGGTGGCTAGAGGTCTTGGCTGGGAGGTCCCACTCAGTGAGGAGGAATGGATAGGGGTCCAACTTAAAAAAGTTATCTGATCACGTTCTGGCAAAGCAGCTGTGTTGTGGTAGGGGAACCCTTTTTTGACTGAACTGTTCAAACTCTTCAAAGTCTGCAGGTTGGAACAGCTGAGTTGACCAAACAGCAAGGAAAGAAGCCTGTCCCTTCCTACTGGGACATCTATCTTGTCTCAGGTAGCCTCCACCCTGATGCTACTGGCTGGCTGGAATTCCAAGCCAATGGAACTTATCTCGTGAGATTCTGTGGAAGTAGGGCCTGCAAAGTGATGCTGCTTGGCCCCTGGATTCTGCCCCATTCCAAAGGGTATGTGCGGATCTCCTGCCTTGCCTGAGTTGTAGTCACCTTTGCTGGGAATTCTGGGGCTGAAGTATGTAAAGCTCCTGAGTCTTTGTACATGCCTGAGTAGCTGCTCTGCTGAAACTCCACACAGCTCTGTGTGTCTGACCCAAGGCCTGGTGACACGGGCTCACCAGGGGTCTCCTGATCTGAAGGTTGAAAAGATCTGTGGGAAAAGTGTGGTATCCTGGGGTTGCGTATTCACTCATCATTTCCCGTGGCTGGGGATGGGGGTTGCCTTGGTTCCGTGTCACTCCCAGGTGGACCATCTTCCTGCCCTGCTTTTCTTTGTTTTCCATGGGTCGAGTTGTTTCCCCGATCAGTCTCAGTGTGAGTACCTGGATATTTCAGGTGAAGGTGCTGAATTTGCTTTTCCTTTTCATTTCTCTCTGTAAATGTCACATAGTGCAGCTGCTTCTAATTGGCCATCTTCTATAATAGATTTTTCTATCTTGACCTTGTAAGCAATAACTTTCCTAAAATAACATATTAATTTAAAAAAATATGTGTAGATTGTTTTGTATTTTCTATGTATGCTGTCACATTATGAAATAGCACAAGACAATGGTTAAGAGTACAGGATCCAGAACATGGCTCTCCGTGTTTCAATTCCAGCTCTGCTACTTTTGGGTAGGTCTTCAGTAAAGCTATTTAAACTTTTTAAGTCTGTTAGCTTATCTGTAAAAATGCCATAATTATAGTACCTACCTCATAAGGATTTTTTTGAGGTTTAATTCAGTGCTTAGTTGGGTGAGCTTCCTGAGAAAGCTAGCTAACTATATTTAGAAAACCAAGAGTACATCTGTGTATATATTTTTAAAAATAAATTTTTCATTTTAGAATAGTTTTACATTTACAAAATAATTGCCAATATAGTACAGAGGGTTCCCATTATCCTCTATCCAGCTTCTTCTATTAGTAATATCTTACATTAATATAGTACATTTATAAAAACACATTGTTATTATTATTATTATTATTTTGAAATGGAGTCTCGCTCTGTTGCCATGCTGGAGTGCAGTGGCTCGATCTCGACTCACTGCCATCTCCACCTCCTGGGTTCAAGCAATTTCCCTGCCTCAGCCTCCTGAGTGCTTGGGACCACAAGCACATGCACACCATCACGCCTGGCTAATTTTTTCTATTTTAATAGAGACAGGGTTTCACCATGTTGGTCGGGATGGTCTTGATCTTCTGACCTTGTGATCCGCCCACCTTGGCCTTTCAAAGTGCTGGGATTACAGGCATGCGCCACTGTGCCCAGATGAGAATTACACATTATTATTAAGTGAAGTCCATATTCAGATTTTCTTGATTTTCTACTAATATCCTTTTCTCTCTGTCTCTCTTCTGGTATTCCATCCAAGATAACACATTACATTTACTTGTGATGTCTCTTTAGGCTACTCTAGGCCTTTGACAGTTTTTCAGATTTTCCTTGCTCTTGATGACCTTGATGGTTTTGGGAAGTACTGGGCAGGATATGCTTCATGAGGAGTGCAACTAATCTTTTTCACATGCTTCAACTGGGATTATGTATATTAGAGAGGAAATAAAATGCCATTCTTATCACATCATATCAAGGGTTTATACTATCAACATGCCTTATTATTGTTGATATTAACCTTGATCATCTGGCTAGATAGCATTTCTCAGGCTTCTCCACTGTAAAGTTACTGTCTCCCCAACCCTTCTGTAATGTATTCTTTGCAAGGATGCCGCTATGTGCAGTCCACATCTCAGGAATGATGTGTCTGACCCAAGGCCTGGTGACACAGGCTCACAAGGGGATCTCCTGATCTGAAGGTCGCAAAGATCTGTGGGAGAAGTGTGGTATCCTGGGGTTACACGTTCACTCACCACTTCCTTTGGCTGGGGGTGGGGGTTGCCTTGGCTACGTGTCACTCTCAGGTGGGTTGTCTCCCTGCTGTGCTTTTCTGTGCACAGATGTATGTATTAGTATAAACTCATGGATATTTATTTTATGGGGCTGTTATACAACACTAGTTTATTAATTTTGTTGTTCAAATTGTTCCAGCTATGGTCATTAGGAGCTCCTTTAGTTAGCTCCCATGTCTCTTTGATATGGACATACTCCATAATTCAGTTTTTTAAAATCTTTTTTGAACCCTCAAATAAAGTAGGAAAAATGTAAAAGTCTCTAATAGAAAAGTCTTAGTCCATTCAGGCTGCTATAACAAAGTATCAATGACTGGGTGGCTTATAAGTAACAGAAATTTATTTCTCATAGTTCTGGAGCCTGGAAAGTCCAAGATAAGAGTGCCAGCCAATACAGTGTCTGGTGAGAACTTGATTTTTGGTTCATAGATGGTGGTGACTTCTTGCTTTGTCCTCACATGGCAGAAGGGGCAAGGTAGCTTTCTGGGATTCCTCTCTCTTTTTTTTATTGTATTTGGGCTCTGGGGTACATGTGCACGTCTTGCATCCTGCAGGATTGTTGCATAAGTACATACATGCCATGGTGGTTTGCTGTCTCCATCCCCTGCCCCTATTGCCTATGTCAGGCATTTCTCCCAGTGTCATCCCTTCCCATCTTCCCTGCTCACCCACTGCTGTCCCTCTCCTCCCCTCCCTTCCACCCCCCACCTAGCCCTGTGAATGTTGTTCCCTTCCCTGTGCCTAAGTATTCCCATTGTTCATCATTCACCTATGAGTGAAAACATGCAGTGTTTGGTTTTCTGTTCTTGTGTTAGTTTGCTGAGAATGATGGTTTCTAGGTTCATCCATGTCTCTACAAAGGACACGAACTCATCATTTTTTATGGATGCATAGTATTCCATGGTGTATATATGCCACATTTTTTTTTGTCCAGTCTATCATCGATGGACATTTGGGTTGTTTTCAGGTCTTTGCTATCATAAACAGTGCTGCAATGAACATAAAGGTGCATTTGTCTTTATGATAAAACAATTTATAATCCTTTGGGTGTATATTGAGTAATGGGATTTCTGGGTCAAATGGAATTTCTATTTCTAGATCCTTGAGGAATTGCCACACTGTATTTCATAATGGTTGAACTAATTTACACTCCTACCAATAGTGTAAAAATGTTCCTATTTCTCCACCTCCTCTCCAGCATCTGTTGTCTCCAGATTTTTTTAAGGATTGCCATTCTAACTGGCATGAGATGATATCTCAATGTGGTTTTGATTTGCATTTTTCTAATGACTCATGATGATGATCTCTTTTCTAAGGGCACTAATCTCATTAATTACAACTGGGCCATCATGACTTAATTACCTTCCAAAAGGCCCCACTTCCTAATACTACTACCTTGGGGGTTAGGATTCGTCCATATAAAATTTTGGGAAACAGCAACATTCAGAACTTAGCAGGAAAACAAGAAAAACCATAAAACAATAAGCCAATTAATACATTATAAAGAACTTAATTTTTAATGTTCTATAGAAAAAAAGTGAGAAAACATTCAATTGCCTTAAAGTGTTTGATGTGGTATATAATAGTTGTTAGAATTAGTACTACTCAGCACAGGACAATGGGAAATAGACAAGAATTTAGAAATTTATTTTTGAATTTGTGGCTTGTGGAGATTCTGGAATTGCCAAGGCAATCTATCTCTGATTGTTACAGTAGAGGAGGAGGAGGCGGATGCAGAGGAGGTGGAGGAAGAGGAGAAGGAAGAAGGCTTTGGGTAACTATGACAGGAAATAATTTTTAGTGAGTACTTACACTATATTCCTGGCACTTTGCATATGTTATATCATTTGAAAAATAGCCACCTTTCTCAGTTGTTTTTCTTTTCTGTTCAAAGTCTGGGGAATACATTTAACAGACTTGTTCTCATGCTGCACTGTCGCTCTGTGAATCATCAAAAGCCAACTGGAGAATTTCAGAAACATTAGTTATTTTTATAGAAATGAATCGAATTCTATCTAAATTCCATGGGAATGACCCTTTTTTTTTTTTTTTTTTTTTTTTTTTTTTTTTTTTTTTTTTGCTATTCTGCTACTCTCCTTTGTAAATTTCTAATAATAAGCAGTGAGGTACAAAGAATAGAATGTGGAGCACAGCTGTTCCAAATACATCAATTTTGAAGTGACCTTTACTCTGCAGTTACTAAAAGCACACCACTAACTTTTATAATCTAATCTGCTGTTGCTGATAAACACAATTCAGGAGACTAAGACCATCAACCTTTGACTCATGTGTGATGCATGATGTTTGGAGACTCCAGCTGGGACCAATCTACTTTCCCTGTTGTGGCACCGACCTTGGATTATCACCTGTATTTGGTTCAAGTAATGAGATTCTCAGGTGGAATAACACATTCATTTTTTCCTATAATTTAAAAGATCTCCAGGACAAGTTATGTTATTACCAAGCAAGACAGGGATCCTTGATTTCCAGGTCTCCCTTATTCTCTTGACAACTTAACCATTCCAGACTTTTGCTTCTGACTTGTAGCCCAGAATAAACACCTAGAGGTTTTTGGGTTCCTGAAACATCTTCAAAACCTCCTAGAAAGGATATATTCCTTTTTCTGAGGCTATTTTTTTTCTTTTTCCTAGCAAATATTCTTTAACCTATATTTACATTTGGGTACATTTAACCTACATTTAGAGAAAGACATACCCACCTGCATTTTAATGATCCGTTTAAATACAGTTTGTTTTCTTGTTGTTGTTGTTTTGTTTTGTTTTGAGACAGAGTTTTTCTCTTTTTGCCCAGGCTGGTGTGAAATGGCACAATTCTGGCTCACCACAATCTCCACCTCCCAGGTTCATGTGATTCTCCTGCTTCAGCTTCCTGGGTAGCTAGGATCACAGGTGCCTGCTACCATGCCCAGGTAATTTTTTAATATTTTTAGTAGAGACAGGGTTTCATCATGTTGTCCAGGCTGGTCTCAAACTCCTGACCTCAGGTGATCTGCCCACCTTGGCCTCCCAAAGTGCTGGGATTACAGGCGTGAGCCACTGCACTGGCCATATTTCTTTTCTTTTCAGACAGGCTCTCACTCTGTTTGCCCAGGCTGGAGTGTAGTGGTGCAATCCTGGCTCACTGCAGCCTCAACTTCCCAAGCTGAGCTAATTCTCACATTTCAGCCTTGTAAGTAGCTCTCAAGTAGTACAAATATAAATATTTGTTATTTTAGTAGAGCTAGGGTTTTGCCATGTTACTCTGGCTAGTCTCAAACTCCTGGGCTCAAACAGTCTGCCCACTTCAGCCTCTCAAAGTACTGGGATTATAGGGATGAGCCACCACAACTTGCCTTAAATACAATGCCTATAAAATTGGTTCATTAGTCTTCTCAGGTTGTTATAACAAATTACTATTTAATTTGATGGTTTTAAACAACAAAAAATTATTCTTTCAGTTCTGGATACAAGAAGTCTGATATCACCGTGTTGGCAGTGCCACGCTCCCTCTGAGAGCTCTGTGGAAAAATCCTTCCTTGTTTCTTTGTAGCATCTTGTGGCTCCCCACAATGATGGTGTTCCTTGGCTTGTAGCTACATCACTCTAATCTCTGCCTCCATCTTCAGATAGATTTCTCCTCTGTGTGTCTGTATGTGCCTCTCCTCCTCTTAGATGGTCAAAAGTCACTGGATTTAGACTTCCACTCTTATTTATTTTTATTTACTTTTAAAAATTTTTTGTGGGTACATAGTATATATTTATGAAGTGCATGAGATGATTTGATACAGGCATCTACCCTTATTTAGCATGACCTCATCTTACCCTGACTCATTACATTTGTAAAAATGCTATTTCTAATTAAGTTCACATCTTAAAGTTCCAAGTGGACCTGAATTTTTGAGGTTACTATTCAACCTACTATTACTATTAGAAGCAAAGTGGAATCAGGGGCAGCTTAAGGAGTCTTCTGAGATTGCATGTGGGAAACAGTGATAAATGTTGGCTCACAAACAGTGAGAGAAAGGCTAAAATCTCTAAATCACATTTATGTTTTGTGTGCATTAAATCACAGCTACCAAATGTATATACATAAGTGTTATCTCAGGAATGTGTTTCTGTGTGGGTTTGCCTCATTTCTAGTTCATAGAAAACATTGTATAAATATTAACTTGGCTATGTATTTATATATGCAATGTATAAGAAAATTATGATACACTAATTATTACGTAAGTAAATGCAAATATTTAGCTGTGAATTTTTCAGCAAATATATATAAATGTTAACATAGATACATGTCATCTTTTTATTGTATTACCATTGACAGTATCATTCATTTAAAGTAAGACACATGTACTCTTTCGTAAATATCACCAACCAAAATTATCAAATTTAACAAAGGTCTGACATTGAAATATAAAGAAAGTAAGTGTCAATAATATTATGTGCATAAAGCAATATTGTAATTTTAAATTTTTATTATTTTATTGTAATTATGTGCTTATTGTGAGGGATGTAATCTTTTTTCATGTCCCAATAGAGCTAATTAACTCCAAACTTTAGAGACTAACTGTATAGACTTTCTCCTGAACAAATCAACAACAGATTAACTTCTATTTCCATTTTGGACATTTTCTGCAAGGGAAGAAAGGAGTTGGTTGAAAATTATTCTCATCATCATTGTAGTAGTAGTTAACATTTATATGAGTCCTTTCTGTGTTCTAAGTACTTTCATGCACATCATTTAATTGAATCCTAATAATGACTGTTTGAGATAGGGGCTATTATAAACTCTACTTTTAAGATGTGGAAATTAAATCAGAGAAGGATTAATATGCCTAATACTGTATAGCTATGTATGATATGGTGAATAGTCTGGGTTAACTGAAAATCAGATCAATATTGATTTTGACAGGTTAACTCTAATATTCCACTATGTTTGCTTCCAAACTCGAGATGCACAGAATCTATAACAGATGAAAGCTGTCAGGACTGTAGGGTAAACACACCTGATAGCACTAACTTGCATTTTTCGAATGAAACTGTGTGGCACCTGAATTGTGTTCTGAGCTGGGAAATGCAGGTGTGGCCAACCTGGAGATAGATTCATTCCCTGTTCATGGGGAACATCTGAGGCCCCATCCTGTGGAACGTGGGGACTGAGGCTCTGAGTTTTGGCCTAACTGAAGGATGCCAGGTAGAGGTTATTAGGGGAGGGTTTTAAGTGAAAACACTTTGTAAACTGCACGCTGTTTGCAAGCGCTTGTGATTTTCCTGCTCAGCCGGCTGCCACTGGACTCTCTCCCTTGTATGTAAATCCCATGTCTTGTTTCCTGGCTTTTAGTCTCTTCTTTGGCTTCATGAACTGAGTGCCATCACCACTGAAGTCAACAGGGGCTCAGCGTGACAAGGACTGACTGGCAACCTGGGAAGTAAAGCAGCCAATTCTCACTGTCGTCACCCTGCAAATTCTACCTGCCTGTATTTACTCTGCATTCTTTTTTTTTTGCCTCTTCTACTTTTTTCTTAAATTCCCTTTTCATAATTTGTATTTGGCTCCCCAAAACATGGAAAACAAAAAGAGAAAAGCAATTTTTTTAAAGAAAATAATTCTTTCATGGTAAATGATAAGAGAATCGGAGCCAGAAAGTGCATCTGCTGGTCCTGCTCCAATTTATATCCTTGGTAGATCATTGACAACCCTCAGCCCAGATGAGAATAGACTTCTCTCCACAGTATTGCAGGAAGCTACTACTAATTACTTGAATTGGCTAAAAAAAGGAAGCTTTTTTTGGCAGTAGCGTCTGAATTGTCAGCAGGTGCATTCTACTTCATTTGACTAATTTATAGATGAAAGCGATGGTAACGTTTAAGAAAAGATTGGCTAAAGCAAGTCAGGAATATATTAAGTACTTCTATCATGTAGATACTTTCTCCTCAATGTTCCAAAAACTTTCTCTGGTTAAAATTTGAAAATAAGTAGGCAATAAAATATAACCAAGAGTGAGCATGGCATTGAACAGAGAATACAAATTGGTTTATGTAAAATAAAAATAATTTTATAATACTGAATGCACATGTGTAAGGTACATGAATGTGCTTAGGTCAAGGAATAGGCCAAGGTGGGTATCCAGGCCTGCAGGACTCAGCGAGTTTGGCATGTAAGTGCATACCTCCACTTGTTATATAACCTGTTTGTGTAAGTTCATATTTGGCTCTAAGCCACTATTTTCTGTAAAAGGTGTAACTGTCCTGCTGACACTATACAGGGGCTCTTGGCTCCACTCAGCTCAGTTCAACATGGCTTGACATAGCAAGTGCGCTGGTGCCCAGAGAAAGAGAGAGAGTCAGAGGTGTCCATCTTTGCAGATGGACAGGAGGGAGCCATGACACAGCTCAGCTTACTCATGCCGAGAGAGAGAAATAAGCAAGCTGTTGTCCCTAGAGGCAAGGAAGAGCTGGCCGCACAGCTTGTCTGGGGGCCACCAGACTAAGCATCTGAGAGAGGGCAGACAGTGTGAGAAAGCTGTGGATGAGAGCTGCTGCTGAATTAAATCATTCACCTGCATATGGCTCCCACTGTTCCTTCTGCTCATCCACCCACTCCCTTTGGACCTCAGCATGGGCTGGAACTTGACCCTGAGCATGATAACTGGTGTAGTCATGAACCTGACAGCATAGTTTAACTTGGAAATTAATATGGTAACTTTGTAAAAGTAGAAAGGAATTTTGAGACTATTAATAGAATTTAAACTACAATAGTCTGAGGTAATTTGCTCTTTTTTTAAATTGAACTTTAGGTTCTGGGGTACATGTGCAGATAATGCAGGATTGTTGCACAGGTACACACATAGCAATATGGTTTGCTGCCTCCATCCCCCGTCATCTACATCTGGCATTTCTCCCCGTGGTATCCCTCGCTGACGTCCCCACCTCCCTGTTGTCCCTCCCTTGCCCCCACTGCCACCAATGTAGGCAGTCTAGTTCCAAAATCCATACTCCTAATTACTGTATGATACTGACTCATTATGTCATAGGTGCTTAGTATACACTTATTTAGGGACTACACCTAATTAATACACATTAATTCCTGCTGATCTGACTTATAACTCTCTCAAATTTATATTCCCCTTTAGTGGCTAAAGATCACTATATTAGTTATCTATTGTTATATAACTAATTACCCAAATCCTAGTGACTTTAAACAACTATAATCATTTATTATCTCTCACTATTTCTGTGGGTTGGGAATTTGGAACAGTCTGGTTGTGCAGCTCTTGGTTCAGGTCTCATATGAGATTGCAGTCAGGTGCTGGCTCTGGGATAGCAGTCATCTGAAGCTTTGACTGGTCCTGAATGGTCTGATTCCAAGGTGGTTCATTTCCATGGCTGACAATTTGGAGCTATTAAAAACAGTGTGAGGTGTTTTCGTTCCTCTTTACGTGGGGCTGTCTATAGGACCACTTGAGTATCCTCTTAGCATGGAGACTAGTTTTCTCTAGAGTAAAAATTCAAGAGACTCAGATGGATGCTCCAGTGAACTTATGTTGTTGGCTTGGAAGATACAAATCTTCATTTCTATGATATTCTCCTGGTCAGAGAAACCATCCCTCATCAATATTCAGGAGACTGTGTCACAGTCTATTTGGGGTGCTATGACAAAGTACTATATTGAGTGGGTGGCTTATAAAGAACAAAATTTTATTTCTTACAGTTCTAGAGACTGGGAAGTCCAAGATCAAGTTACTGCCAGATTCAATGTCTGGTTAAGGCCTGTTTCTTCATTCATAGATGGAATCTTCTTGCTGTGTCTTCACATAGAAAAGGGGGCATGGCAGTTTTCTGGGGTCTCTTTCATAAGGGCACTAATTTCATTCATAAGTGCTCTGTTTTCATGAAATAATCAACTTCCAATGGCCCCACCTCCAAGTAGCATGAAATTGGGGATTAGGTTTTAAGATATGAATTTGGACCTATGAAAGAACCATTCAAACTGTAGCACTATACAAAGACATGTGGCTTATTGGGGGCCATTTGGGAGGCTGGCTAACACAATCATATACACACATCATGTTTCTTTCTCTGGCCCATCTGCTCTGGTAGTATCCTTCCTTCTTTGAGGAGATGACTTTTATGCATTTTACCATAGCCTACCCCCAAACTAAACTCCCTTTAGGGTTAAAGAAATATTAAGGCGACCAACCCAAGGACAATCAGGTGTCACCCCAGGAATTTTTATTCCCATGGGGAAATATACAAATACAAAATGTCATCAGTTTAAATGATCAAATTAGTTTCGCAGGAGGATCATCTGCAAATTTCAGTTGCTTCCCTGATTTTTTCATAGCTCGGGTGGTCAGTTCTTTCTAAACTTTCTTGATTCTTAGATAAGTTAGAGTTTGTTGATTTTCTTCACCATCAGAAAGTCCTCGTTGATAAGACTCACTTTCCGTATGGCCCCAGCAAAGAACAAGATACACTGTATGTGTTATGTTGATAAAAAGTCAGGAATTTTTTTTTTTTTTTTTGAGACGGAGTTTCGCTGGTTACCCAGGCTGGAGTACAATGGCGCCATCTCGGCTCACCGCAACCTCCGCCTCCTGGGTTCTGGCAATTCTCCTGCCTCAGCCTCTTGAGTAGCTGGGATTACAGGCACGCGCCACCATGCCCAGCTAATCTTTTGTATCTTTAGTAGAGATGGGGTTTCACCATTTTGACCAGGATGGTCTTGATCTCTTGACCTCGTGATCCACCCGCCTAGGCCTCCCAAAGTGCTGGTATTACAGGCTTGAGCCACCGCGCCCGGCCAGGAAACGTTTTTTAAAAAATCACCCAGGCAACTGGATCATTGAGCTCAGGAGACAAGAGGGCCCCCAGATGGCCTTTGGAGACATTCCTGAGACCTGTACTAGAGAGAGCTTCTGTCTGTTCTTCTGTCAGTTTCTGCCATCAGAGTCAATAATAAAAGATGACCTTCCTTACAAATCTGGGCCTATTACTAATAGGAGACCTTTTCATAGAGAATTTGTTAATTTAGTTAACATTGTAAACTGATAATTTAATTCTATTTATGTGAAAGCCAAAATATATCTCAGAATCTTATAGACAATTATATCCTATTACTATTCCATTCAGTATCCCCCCCAAAAAACCAAATCTTTGATACGTTTTCAACTGTCTTATATGCTAAAAGATTTCTACATATTAACCTGTGCAAGATTTTCTTTTAATAATGATTCAATCTTTCTTATTTCATTATTATAAACCATGAACATAAACTTTTAAAATATACTTTCTCAGTATATCTTATTAGCTTTGTCTTCAAAGCTAACAGAAATAGACACTATGTTCCAATCTTTTTACAATGTGAAAAACAAGTTTAGTGGAAGAAGGGATACAATTATGTGTGGGAAGGTAAACGCAAGGACAATAGTTTCTGGCACATTGTTAACTGAATTGTATGTGTGGGTGTTGCAGACTCCATCAGCTGAGAAGCAAATATAAGAGTATAATGTAAGGTGCTTCTTAAAACATTTTTCCACCAAGTGAATGTGTTGAAGTCTTTTGCGAAAATGACTAGTTGTTGCCTGTCTGATATTTCAGGTAAATATATTAAACATCACATGATAGATCAGGAGCTAACAAGACAAAAGTCACTGGGCCATATTTCATTTAAGGATAGGATTTCAGCATCTCTAAGTAAAAAAATCACAGCTGCCTCCTGCCATTGCCTTGCATTCTGAGTTTTGCTGTATATATTATTAATTGTCACCTGAAACATCTTTGCACACATAGGTACACATATAAACTTCAGGTAGAGAATAATACCAGCTTTCTTTGGCGTCCGATTGTGTGTTTGACCTTTTTTTTTTTTTTTTTTTTTTAGACAGAGTCTCACTCTGTCACCTAGCCTGGAGTGCAGTGGACAATCTTGGCCCAGTGCAACCTCTGTCTCCTGGTTTCAGGCAATTCTCCTGCCTCAACCTCCCGAGAAGCTGGAACTACAGGCACCCACCACCATACTCAGGTAATTTTTGTATTTTTAGTAGAGATGTGGTTTCACCACGTTGACCATGCTGGTCTTGAACTCCTGACCTCATGATCTGACCACTTTGGCCTCCCAAAGTGCTGGGATTACAGGCATGAGCCACCATGCCGGGCTGTGCTTGGCCATTTTGTATGTGTAATTGCTGTCTTCTAACTGCTGGTAGAGTTTGTATTTGTTGAGGTTTGTGTAAATACATGTAGCCATGCCTACATGTATACATTTGCTTGCATGCCTGATGGTAAGTGGGCTTTCTGTGTGTCTGTGTTTGTCTCCTTATTAATGTGATTATCCATTTCATTCCATGCTCACTATTTACTACTTCCTCAGAATTCCAGCTTTTTTGTTTGTTTCTTTGTTTGTTTCTCTTCCTATCACCTATTTCCCCAATACAGGGTTCATATAACCCTTTTCAATGATGTAAGCCTTTCTTGGACTAAATTGCTATTTGAGAATTTAGTTTTTCCTCTTTTTTTCTTCCTCCTAGTTTGTTCCTCTGTATCTTATAAAAATGTCCATACTATTGTGAGTCAAAAACATATTTTCCTTATTTGTGGGAGGAGAAGAGCAAAGAGAAATCATTGGTATTTCATTGAAAGGAAGTACAAGTCAAAGAGATATATGAATGTTATCTTTGATATAGTGATTTAAAAGTTTATGAAGAATAAATATATAAATTTTTAAACCAGAATTTATTTATTTTTCTTCTCTGTGTAAGGTACGGGTCTGGGTAATATTTAAAGTGGTAATAATGTTCAGTTCTTCACATTTGGCTGGAAGTTGTGCTAAAAGAAGAAAATATGAATATAAGTTATTTAGTCATCTGATAAATAGGTATATCTCAAAAGGCAGTTACAGTGGAAAGAATATAGGACTTGGAGAATAAGTATCTGCATTGAAACCCCAGGCCTTCACATACTGGCTTCTCTACACAGAATCTTTATTTTAGAATGCAGATTGGATTGTATTATGTTTCCTTGTCTTTTAAAGGCTTCTGATTGCCCTTAGGATAAAGAAAACAATTTTTAACACTGCTTATAGTTCCTGCATGATCCAGCTCCATCTTTCAGTGCTGACCCACATGTACTGTGAGTACTGAAACACGTGTACATGCATCATGGCTATGACCATGCCCCAGCCACTACAGCCATAGTTCATTGAGTAGACAATGCTCCTTCTCACTGGACCATTGCTCCGTTGTTCTCTCTGAAGCACTCCTTTCCTTGCCTTTTAAACTTCCACTACTCCCACTTGGAACAGATTAGTTTTTACAGGTTATCATGAAACATGTTGCTTTCCTTTGGATCACTTATCTCCATTTTTAGTTGAATATTATTTTGTGTCATCAATGTTGCCACCTCAACTGGACTGTTAACTCCCTAAGAGTGGGAACTACATCTGTGTCCCTGATGTAGTTCCCAGTAGCTCCTGTGCCTATCTCTGTTTCTGACACACATGGCTTTTTAAAAAATTTAATCACTTGAAAAATCATTGAACTGCTCAGAAACAAAATGTTGCCAGTTATAAAATGGGGATAAGAAATTACTTGTTAGATTAACTGAATGTGCATAAAAACTTTGCAGAATGCTCTAAAATATAGGGTAGGATAATAATTATAATAATAACCAAGAGGAATTGCTGCTCTAATTAATTTGGTCAATAGAGAAAAACTAGTCAGTGATAAGTGTGTGCAGATAACTTTAAAATAAATAATTGTCTAATGCATAAATAAGAGCAAAATATGTCTATATTTAGATATCTTCAGGTAATTTAAAAGAAAATAAAATCAGACTGGGCGTGGTGGCTCACGCCAGTAATCCCAGCACTTTGGGAGGCCGAGGTGGGTGGATCACGAGGTCAAGAGATCGAGACCATCCTGGTCAACATGGTGAAACCCCGTCTCTACTAAAAATACGAAAAATTAGCTGGGCATGATGGCGCATGCCTGTAGTTCCAACTACTTGGGAGGCTGAGGCAGGAGAATTGCCTGAACCCAGGAGGCGGAGGTTGCAGTGAGCTGAGATCCCGCCATTTAACTCCAGCCTGGGTAACAAGAGCGAAACTCCGTCTCAAAAAAAGAAAAGAAAAGAAAAGAAAAAATCAAACAAAATGAAAGTTTCTTTCTCTGACAGTACCTCCAGCTTTAATCTACAGTTGTAACCATTTAAAATTGCTTTTTGTTTTTAGCTTTTATCTAGTTATCATGGGATCTCTAAATTTTATGTTTTAATTCCCACTTCTCGATTTATCAGTTTTAGACAGTATCTACTATCTTGCAGCTATGAAAGATGAGTTTAGATCATCACACTAATTTCTATATTTCCAATTTCTATATGCAATTTTTATTATTTATATTATGATGATTCTTCTAGTATTACATTTTTGACTTTAAGTAATATTTTAAACATTTCTTGCTTCATGTAATTTAAGAGTAGCTACTTATCTCACATTGCATAAGAGGAAAGTAGTGTACATATATTTTTCCTTCATTCTTCTTGCCCTTTACATACATTTCCTAAGTTCTGTCTGCTGTGCCACTGTTTGATTCGGTCAGGTGATGTTCTGTTTCATTCTGTCAAGTCTTATATTATCTTCTGTGTTTTCACCAAAGGTTGATTTTAAAAACTAAAACAAAGCAACCTCATAAACATTAACATTATGTAACTGTGATAAATATTATAAATAAACAACATTAAAAACAAATAAATATTATTTCAATCAAAGTACTGTAAAGGGACCCATTGAAAAAGGTTGTACTCCTAATTGAAACTCTGCCAAAAAAAAAAAAGAGAAAGTTCCAAGTTCTTAATGCTCAAAATTATATTTTAATGTGCTCAATATGTGGTCTGTGATTTTTTATACAGCTTTTTGTTCTCAAAAGAGTTTCTAATTGTTTCTTTGTTATTACTGGCAACAAAATACCCATAAAAGTTTAGAAATTAATCATACAGATTGTAGAATGTAACTGATTTTCTCCTTAAGGATTTCTTTTTTATAGCAGCCACTGATTTCTTGCTTTTATTTGTACTGATGGCACAGAGATTTCATTGCTTAAATCCAATGGATCCAAGTGTGCTTCTCTTTCTTGACTTCCTTTTTGGTCTTTCAGGAACATAAACTCAAGTAATTTTATTTATTGAAGGATGCTTGCAAGGAGGTATTTCTTAATCTCTGAGATCTGAAAATGCTGCTAATTTATCTTTAAATTTGATTTATATTTTGACTGGGTATAAAATTTCAGGCTTTAACTTATTATTCCCTGGAAATATCAAATGTATTGGTCCATTGTCTCCTAGTTTTCATTTCAGCTAATGAGAAGCTTGATACCAGATTCTTTTTCCTTGGTAGTTAATCTAGATTTGTTTTCTAAAAATTTTGAACATATTCTTTTTATTTTGGTGTTGAGATTTTACTAAGATATGAAACTGTATAGATTAACTTTTCATCCATAGTTTTGTCATAAAACAGGATCTTTAATTCTGGAGATTACATTTTCCTTAATCTCAGGAAATATATATATTAAAATTTTCCCATTTTCTTTACATCCTAATTTCTAGAATTCCTCTAAGACAGAAGTTATCCTTTGTGCATTTTTATCTATCTCTTCATTTTAATAATTTACAGCTTTTTAAATTACCAATTTATATACTTTATCATTATTAATTCAATAATATATCAACAAATATTTATTGAATGCCTCTGAAACAAATACTGAGTGCTAGGCTTTATAAATACAATAGAAAGGAGGCAAAAATCTCCACTTTGACATTATAGTATCTAACACACCCCACTTAAACTGCTCTGAGAGTCCTAAGCTCTGCCTTAAAGAACAAAAATTTTGTCTTCATCTTTGTTTATTACTTTTTCCTTCTACTAAATTTTAAATTTCAGTTAATATATTATAATGTCATGTCAAAAAGCTTTTCATCTTTTCTTACATATTTTTATTATGGTGTCTTCTAGAATTTTGGTTTTAATATCTACTTGCATAGGCTAAGATTGCTAATTATATTCTTTTGTTACAAAACCTTTAGTTTCAGAGACATAATGTCAGAGTTTTATGGGTACACATGGAAAAAAATTACAGATGAAAGTGAAGACAACCTAATCATAGCTATTGCTATGCTGACTATTCATTAGTGTGGAGATGGAAGTTGAGACATGCTATGGACAGGCAGGAAGAGTAACTGGTGCCCCTCCCCTTCCTATCTTCATCAACAGACCCTACACACACCAAAGAAATTTCTCAATATCTTTTCTGGGATAGCAATGTTCTTAAATACCCAGCATATTCTCCCTTGTCCAACTCATTATGCACATTCCTAGGTATGATTGAAATAGGATGGGGCAAACCTATGATCAAATGAGTCTAATCTTCAGCAATAGGAGTTTCTTAGCCAAGTCTTCACCAGGAACCTGGAAGCCCATAGGGTACTAATATGCAAACTGAATGCTACACTTTTTTGGGGATGGGAAGGCAGAATAAGCACTTTTGGAAACCACAACAGCATTACGTATAACATGGCAAAAGTCACATTCCATCTCCTAGTTCAGGTATGTATTATGGTGAGAGCCACCTTACACCATGTGGTTGTCTGGCTCTACAGTCTCTGCTATGGAAAGCTGTTTATCACAAATTTTCTAGGCAGAGATGACTGTGGTTTACGTGGCTGCAGGGAATTAGATAACGGATTGCATTTATGATTGGTCTGAATTCTGGCAGGTCCACGTTAAAGGCATTTTCAACCAAAGGGAGATAGTTATGGAGTACTATCTATCTAATAAAGATGTTAGGTTTAGTGTAGTTTGGGCAGTCCATACTGAGAAATGTA